ACAAAGAAGTACTTTATTTTAAGATTTCACTCAAAAATGTTTAATTAAAGTAATTTATTCATATAATTTTAGAATTATAAAAATAGAACCACATTAAGAGAATTGTTAAAACATGATTTTATAATTTAAAATAGAGAAAATGGTAAATAAGGATTAATAGAATTATGTAAGAGAATGGATACAGATTAGAAATCCAAACTTAAAAAAAGCTCTAGTTTAAAATGAAATTATAGAAATTTCATTATTACTTTATTTTTTTTATTAAATTATCAAATTTAATACAATATGATATTTATACTATTGAAATTGCACATAATATGATCAATCTTTTTTTGTTGTATCAGTTTCGTTCATTCTAAGTGAATTAACCAAAATTTCTGTTAAGGATTCTATTCTTAAATCTAATATTATTAATTTTAATTATTTACTTTCAAAGAATTTGTTATAACTTTTAAAAAATGATTGTTCTCGATATTCAACTTAAGGTCTTTTCTTTTTCAATCTACATATTTTAAAAATAATGAATTTCACAATAGGCTTTTTGAAGATGATAATAACAATCATGACAAGTCCTGCACTAAAAGCACCATATATAACCCAACTAAATCTCCAAAATAATCTAAGGAATAAATAAATGCTAAATGGTAAGACAACTATTTAATAACATTTTATTTAATGACTTAATAAATTAATTGTAAATCTTTTATCAATTTAATAATTATGAGTAATTGCATATTTATCCCAAAAATAAATATAAATTGTAAATGCTAGACAAAATAGTACTGCCACTGGACATATATATATTAGGCATAAAGCTGTTGTTAATATAAATAACATATTAAACTATCTTCCTCTCTATGATATAAAGGCAGGAGTCATAATTTAATTTAATTATCCTTAAAAAAAATTCTTTGGATTAAAATTCTTCAATGCTTTTCTTTTTCTAAGCCAAAATCTAGTGTGTCTTATATGAAAAGTATGGAAAACTTATTTGAATATTATTCTATGTAAGGATAATGTTACTAAATCATAACAAGCTACAATTTAATTTCTACCTCCCCAAATTTCAAATGTTGCAAAATAGGGGAAAAATTAAATTAGAAAGTATTAAATAATGACAAAAAAATGCATTATACTTTCTTCAACTTCAATAAATGTACTCCTTCTACTCTTAGCCATTTAACCTAATATTGTTAATGTAGTATAACTAGATAGAAATGTTACTAAAATAGCTAAGAAATTTGCAAATAGTTTCTCCCAAGCAGACAATGATCCAGAAGATTTCTTATCTTTTTAATTCGGATTATTTTAGTAAAAATAAATTAATTCAAAACTTCCCATTAACAAAAAACTTGCAATTGCAGCTGTGAAAATGGCTTTTAAACGAAATTTTAATCTTTTAAAAGTATCCATACCTAAATTCTCCCAAAAGATTCCGTTAATTGAGAAACCCCTCTTAACTCCCATTTAATAATGTATTTATTCTACATATTTATTACTATAATCGAACTACTATTTAGCCAAGTAAGTATTTTAATTAAATAAACTAATTCTAGCTTTTTGATTATCAACCTCTGAATCTTATATTTATAACTAATCAACTGAGACAGTTCGACTATCTATATAAGATGAAGTATCAGCAACTTAATTTTTCTGCAATTCTTTTAATTTAGTTTATTATTTCATTACCTCATATCTGATTAATAACTATATTTTAGATATAATTTCTTACATTCTAATACCATTTTTTCCTGTAATGTAGATAGGCAGCATCTCTTTGTTCTTTAGTTTCAAATTTAATGATGACTTTATTTGTAAAAGGTAGTCCATTCTTTAAATATGATTTAATCTTTTATGTCTTATACACAATATCATTTAACTATTATTTAAATAGATTCTCAAGCATTTCAAGTGTGAATGTTTTATATGTCTTGGCTTATTTTTCACTATAAGTGGTAATTATTCCTGTCTCCTTTAACTCTTTCAATTATTCCAAAGTGATCATAAATTCAAGTAGAGCATTTTCTCTTTCTATATTCATCTCATTTACTTCATGTATATCATATATATAAACCAATTCTTAAATAACATTCTATGCTTAAAACAAAACTGATTTTTTGGCCATTTCATCAAAAGTATTCATAGCAATTGCTTTGCAAATAGTTTATTGAACTTCTTCAGATGTCATTTTGTATGGCAAATGTCTTACATAAACTGACTTTTTGTTTTCAGTTACATGATTAACTGGCTCTTTATCCCAATATTTAATTTATTTGTATCTTATTATAATTTCATATGCAAATGGAAGCATTATATTTATAACAAAAATGATGAATGCTGCTATTTAAATATAAGTTCTTTTAAAACCACTTCCACCATTATCTATATCAATTTAAGCAGAACATTCAAGTTATTCTAGAAAAGGATCCATTGCTACAAACATGTAGATGGTATTTAAATCACATGCACTTTGATACTCAATCTTCATATCTCCTTCAGGCAAACAAATTTTATCAGGATTTGCACATGTTGAATTAACTTCATAAATGAAGAATATGCCATATACACAAAAAATGATGACAAATAAGGCCATCTAAAATTTAAGAAAAGTAAAATATAAAGGGGCAGCTATGCCGTAATCATCAACTAATAATTACCACATGTTGACTGTAAGAAAATTAATACGTTTTCTATTTAATGGTTTACTAAAATAAATGACATCATATTACTTGCAACAAGGACATTCTTTAGCATCAGTTTTATCAAGAAATTCTTAATCTGGTTAAATATAATGACATTATCTATGTAGCTCAGCCTGTTATAAACTACATGGATAAGAATAATAATTATTTTATGGCATCTTAATATTTTTTGCCCAATTTAGAGGATCTATAGATGATAATCTTTCCCTAAATTTAGAAGATGAAAATCGATGTTGTTAAGGGACTTGACCTTGTCTATCCTAATTAAAATCAAGAGTAACAGGCTGATTGTTTTCAACTTATTGATCATCTTCATAATTTTCAATAAGTTTTTCGATATCAGAATTATTCATAAAAAATGAAAATAATTTATTAAATATAAATAATACTTGTAGAATATAATTAGAACTAATATATTTTCAATGACATATATATTTTAACTATTAATAATTATTAGAATATTTTTAATGTAAATCATATTAATGATTAATATTAATACTTGTATCTAATTTATCAGTCAAATAATAATGACAATGATCAAACTTATTTTTATTAATTCATGATCAAAAGAAATAAGTATTAAAAAGCATATCTAAAATATATTTTAACTATGCTAATAGATAAATTTCCTTATTTTGTAAAAAGGAATTCATTTTTCTCTATTTTTATATTTATATAAATAAGTCTAAGGAATATATACTAAAATGAAGAATTTGTAATAATATTAGGATAATAATGAGAGAAGGAACTTTGATTTTTATAAAACATATATGGTGTATATTTACATATACTACTCAATTTCTTTGATCTGTTGTTAAGAATTTAGCATATAATAATGTATCCTTTTGAATGTCCATGGTTACCATAGAATAAATAATACCAATTAAGACAATTACAAAGAAGACTCCAAACCATACATAAATTTAATAAGTTGTTGCATTCATTACGTAGGTTGAAGAATTAGTTTGCTATAGAATAATTATATACTTAAATTACAGTGACTTAATTAAGCATTCTTGTTCTTGTTTCCATCAGTATTCTTTAAACTTTAGCAGATTCTTTAGTTGTAGTTATTAATGGATTTTTCTCTTCTTCAATTAATATCAAACCGAATAAATCTTCACTTTCAAAAGTATTTCTAAAATTTTTGGAGAGCTAAATGATGATAACTCTTCTTTATTACTTTTTTATGAGCAATTCTCATCATATCATAGACCAAATCAATTTCTTATTCATTTAAAATCTTCTCTAATTTAGCAATAGATTTATTAATGATTGATAAAAAATTAGGAGAATTGTCTACGATGTAATAATATATATAATACTCTTCTTAAAGTTGGTTGCAAGTTTGTTCATAGCACAAATATCTTTTAAAAATCCTATAATTTGATCTTAATTATCCTATGTTATATCTAACATTTCATTTGTATTGTATTTATAGATCTTATTGTCTTTAGGAGCATAATCAAATGTTGTTCCAAAGAAGTTATCAACACATTTCTCTAATGATTAATCAACCTTATAAGATTTGTCTTTTTTGGGTTCATATAAATAAACTTCATTCTATGATTATACTATAATATACATTTTTGCCTAGATAAAGTGTTACTGTCCATTATAAATAATTGACATCTAAATCATCCTCATTTTAATATATTTTGAATCCTAAATTATTATTATTAAATAATTTATTAGCTTTTGATATCAAAGAATCAGCTATTGTATTAATATATTACAAAATACCTTATTATCCAAATAAAGTTTCCATTATGGATTTTTATTCTCTCTCTAATACTTTGAAACTTTAAGCATATCCTTCAGTAATTCTTTATTGGTTTGATTCTTGTCCTTAATACAATTTATCACTCTCTATAAGAATCAAATAATTCATTTCTGTAGGAGTCAAAATATTACCCTTACCAAAGGATCTATAACATATAATCTTATTTTATACATTATCAATTATTCATATGCTTTTTATTAATCTTGTGAAACATGTTCAACTAGCCCAATATTATATTTGATCAATTATGCAATTTACTTCTAATTAAGCCCTTCTAGATCTTATGCATTGTTTTCATTAAATGGATACAAGTAAGCATGTGATGCAAATGTATAAACAACTAAACCAAATCAAATACAAATTCTAAGTACCACAAATGATGAACACCAATGTTTTCATTATTATATTATTTAATAAAATTTATGAATGATTACATTTAATATAACATATAAGCATAAGAATTCTTAATTCTAATTCAAATATATATATAAATAAAAATTTATCTGTTAACTCTTATGAGTTATGAAATATCCTCATAATTTATAGAATTCAGAAAGTAGATTTCAACCAAAATTAAGAATTCTACTCTCAACAAATACCAATAAATAGTCACACCTAATAATCTATTTAATCTCCGTAAATAATCGTTAACTAATAATTTGAGTTGCTTTAATTCTAAATAGGCACTTAACAGTAAAAGTAATAATAATCAATAGATATCACATTAACACCTTAAAGAAATTCCTAAATGTCTAAAAAAAATAAATTAATAAGTTCCTCTAATTAAGGTTAAGATAAAATTCTTAAAAGTCCCAAAAGATTATCATATTACAGTACTACTACTAAAAGCTAATAATCATATCTTAATTAGTTTGATTACTCTAATACTTATAGATAATAGGATTATTTAGAGGAGTAAAATTAAATTAAATAATACTCTACAAAATACTATAAAATAATGAATTAAGAATAAGGCCTTTATTATAGTAAATTATAAGCAAAGTTAGATAATTTATCTATTGTAATTGGTAATTAAGATCACAGAAAATAAAATGTATTAGAAATTGACGATATTATTAATTTTTCTAAATAAATTAATGGAAAATAAAAAAGGGAAAAGTATTTAGACAATCTATAATTTGAGAGTAAAGTCTTGTAAAATGATATACTGAGTATTAAATCTAAACAATCCAGATTTTCAGATTGAAATTAGAATAGATATATTATTATATTTATTTTCAGTTATATAAAAAAATAATTAAATTTGTAATAAACTCAATAGGATTTTGTTTTAATAAATATATTTCCTTTGTCTTTATCTTGGATGCCAAAATTACAATTCCATTAAATTCTTAATATCATAATTTATTTATATCATCCAAAATAATATCCTTTCTTATTATAAATCTATTTTGTGTAAGAAAAAAAAATGATTTTAGTATCTATGACTTTGTGGAAGGATTAGATTATTTAATAATAGTTTCTTTTGATTAATATAATTATCTAAGATGATTAGATTTCATTTTAAATATTATAATAATATTTAATTTATGATAAGAAAAATATTATACAATTTTGTTAAGTTTCAAAGCATTCCCAATTAAAACAACTTCAAATTTCAAAAAATTTAATAAAATTAAACTATTCATAAAGCCTAAACCACTAGTGATTTACTAAAATTTTATTCATAATAAGGAGCATCATTAAATTTAATCAATTTAGTGAGTTATATCAGAAAATATACAGATTTCATGATTTCTCATTCTTTAGTTGATGATGAAGTTGAAATATAGCATACTTTTTCAGTATTGGATTAATTATAAGACATGATTCATAATAAATAGTATTTGTAATTTAAGGATAAAATTTCAGATCACAAGAGATCGTTTATCATGTTATTGTCTTTAAGTGTTGAAATGTTTTAGAGATCTAAAGAACCAGAAAATTAGAAAAAATTCTTAAAAAGTGCCAAATTAGCTATCAAATCAATCAAAGAAGAGAATAGATTAAAAGATTGTAATATAGATGAAATTAGTGTACTTTTACGATGCATCACATAAATAAATGAATTGGTATTACGATGATGACTAAAATATTAGAATCCTACAGAAGATGAAGAAATTGAATATTGGGCACTTATAGGAACTCTCATAAATCAATTAACTCCACATTCTAGTTGTAAACTATTGCATTCTTTATCAAAATTTAGAAGTTTTAATGAAAACCTAATTGGAAAATTATTGCATCCCCTACAATATATAGAAAATAAAGATATCAATTAAAAAGATGCTATTAGTTTATTTTTCTCATTTAAACATATAAGTGATAAAACAAAGAAATTTGATGAAGTAATTTCAAAAGTATTTGTTTTTTTATAACCTTATATGATTAAATAATCATTTAAATTACATGTCAAATATATTGGTATGATCTACAATGTTTTAGCAACTTTACCTTTAGAAATTGATAAAGATTTCTTAACATTTTTAGAATTATAATTAATTTAATCAAATAATTTAAGTATGTTATGTTTAGCTCATTTATTTTAATTTTGTTATTCAAAACCAGAATTAAATATAATTATCAATAAAAAATTAGAAGATAAGATTTTAGTATTTTTAAATTAATCATCTGATATAGATGATATACCTAAGGCAGAATAATTTATTATGTTTTTCAACACATTAGGAAATTAATGTACACCAAAATATATTGATATTTTTATTCCTATTTTAAAAAAGATTCCAATGAATGATTTCATAATAGGGAAAATGTTTTCAGGATTATTAAAAATAACATTGGCATCTCATTATTTAACAGAAATTACAGATATTTGTATTTAGAGATTAAAATAATATGACAATGCAATTAATATACATGCTTTAAATAGTATTTATAGAGCAAAATGTATTTAAAATGCTAAATATGCAAATCTTTTTTAAGATGTTGTTAATTATTAGATTAATAAATATAGTCAAGAAATATTCATTAAAGATTATTTATATTTGATTAACAATAAGAAATATTTTGAATCATTTGAATTTTTATAAGTGTTAATAGATTTTTTAAAAATTTATACATTTACTGGAAATGAAGGAAAAGAAAATAAAATTATTATTAGTGATAAATTAAAGGAACTTAAAATTATAGTAAATAATGTGAAGAATTAGAAAGTTGAAGAAAATGCTTAAAAGTTCTTAGAATAGTTTGATGATTTCATTTGATATGGGTATAATAAGATTGGAATTAAAAATTATATATTATCATTCATTTATATTATATTTTTTTTTTGAAATTCTCATCTTCATGGGATCATAATGTACAAATTGCAAATGCGTCAATACTAAAAATGAGATACTTAAAACTGTAAGCTATTTCAATTTATTTTGATAGTAGGATAATGTGACTTTAGCAACTTCTGATTCTTCTTCTGTTCATTAAAAAAAAATTAAAAAAGCTATCGTCATTTAATCATATTGGAGGGGTTATATTATTAGAAAAAAGTTGAAATAAATGAAACTCAAGAAACGTGAAACTTTAAATAGTTATAATTCTAAAATGGATGCCAGCGAGTTTTTCTTTTCGTCTGGTGTTACTTTGAATCAAGATGAATTTCCACAAGAAGAGAGAGGACCTCATAAGTATAAAGATGTCTTATAAGATTTAAAGGAGGAGCTATATATACGGGACAATGGAAAGGTAAGGCAAGAGATGGTTATGGAATATAAATTTGGCCTGATGGAGCTAAATATGAAGGAATGTGGAAATATAATAAAGCTCATGGCAAAGGTAAATTTCAACATGCAAATGGTGATGTTTTTGATGGTGAATGGGAAAACGATATGGCTAATGGTTTTGGAATTTACTAACATTTTAATGGTCCAAGGTATGAAGGATAATGGTTTTGTGATTAATAACATGGTTATGGTGTAGAAACCTGGTCAGATGGTTCATAGTATTAAGGATTTTTTTAAAAAGGATTGAAGCATGGAAAAGGGAAATATAAGTGGGCAGATGGATAAGTTTATGATGGAGATTGGTATAAAAATAAAATACACGGTAGAGGAATCCTATAATGGTCTGATGGAAGAAGATATGAAGGAGAATTTTAAAATAATAATATGCATGGAAGAGGTATTTATGTGTGGCCAGATGGAAGGAAGTATGAAGGTCATTATTTTAATGATCAAAAACATGGTTATGGAATTTATTAATGGAGTGATGGTAGAAAGTATGAAGGAGAATGGGAAAATGGAAAATAACATGGCAAAGGTGTATATATAAATGGAGAAATTGAAAGACCTGGAGAATGGTATTAAGGTAAAAGAATTAAATGGGATTCAGATAGTAATGCATGAAAAACATGTTTATCTTATGAACTATAATTAATTTAATTATTCAAACAAATAAATATTTATTTCGAAACTTAATTTAAACAATAAATAATAACCATAATAAATCCAAAGACAACTAAAAATATTCAATTAAAAAAACCAAATTAAGTTCTAAACATCTTAATTCAAATTAAAGGGGCTAAAATAATAGAAAATGTTGTTCAGTACAATTAAAAACTAATATCTCTAAATAATAATAATAAATCAATTGGATCATCTAAATATATATTCCTTGTATTCTTAATTATATTAATATTAGTTATATTTGATATTTAGAGAGTACCTTTTGATTTCAACATTTAACTTATTATTTTTAAATATTATTGTCTTATTGAATTGCATTATGAGTTGTTTTAAAATTAAACTAAAATTGATAAGTTAACTTGTCTTGCCATTAAATTCAGATTTCATTTAATCCTTTTATCGATTACTTTCATAACATAATATTATTTAAATATTTTAACTTTAACTGAAGAATATTGTTTCTACTTTCATCTACAAGATTATTATAATTTTAATAATCATGGATATGATATGTATTTTTCATTTGGTATTTGTAATTTTTGATAATAAGTATTAGTATGAATTTCTAAAAATAGTTTAGTATGTTATTTTAATTGTATTTTTTTTATTATGATATTAAAGTTACTTTTATCACTTTATTATTTTTCATATTTATCTAATTTATTATTATTAGTATATACTGACATACTTTTCTTGTTTTTCTTTACTTACTTATTTTTGAAAGTGTTTCTTATCTCATTTATTCTTATTAAATACATTTATAATCTTGCTATATATATATAAATTTTAACATTTTTGATTGTTGTAAATAATATAAGTAAAATATTTCTTATTTAATATATTTGTATAATTCAAACCACTTTAATTCATGAAAATTTAATTTGTTTATCATGTGATTACACAATTTTTAATTATATTTAAAATATTTTTATAGAATTAGATTATAAAAATTCTTACTAATATTTCGTTAATAAAAATATTGTATGATATCATTTTATTTAATATACTGTTCTTCTATCTCCTTACATCAAAGCCAATTATGTCTTCAATGATTCAATTTCAGAAGTGTATTAATTTAATTTCTCTTTTAAAGCTTACTACAATCCTCTAAGATGTGTTATCTCTTCATCTCTCATTTGACAAACAGATTTCCATTTATCTATTTATAGAATATAATCTTAAACATTTGATTCAAAGTTATACTCATTCTCAATCTAGTATCTAATATCTTATTCTATTGATATTCTCAATTCCCTTTCTAATTTCATTCTAATTTCAGATTCAAATTGTAATTTTTATTCATTAAATCTTTGTTCCATTTAGACTTTCAATTAATATTATTCTTTTTTCATTTATTCAATTAATTATTCTTTTGTAATTGCTTATTTTTTTAATTCAAATATCTCATACATCAAAGCATCTACATCTACAGATGGTTTAATTTATGATTAAAGTTGCATAATTTATTATTCATATTTAATTCTTATTTCTGATTCCATCTTTAATTTCTCTTATTTTTCAATTTAGATTTATCTTCTTAATTCATTCAAATCATTATTATATTTTTCATTTAAAATTCTTACTTCTTATTCTACTCTTATCTTTACACTTTTTTCTAATTAATACTTTTATTCATTAATTTCTTATCTCTCATATTCATATTATTTATCTTTTTAAGCTAATTACTTCTTTAATTCATATATTTCATACATTAAAGCATCTACATCTATACTTTTTTATTTATTTTATAAATTTTCATATTCTTTCATAATTTCTTAATATTTGAATT